TTGGGGAATTCAAATATTTCCTTTATAACGAAATATTTCAAAAAAGAGTTTGTTTTTACGTTATAGATCGACTTTTTTGTGTCCAATTATAGTTAATAATTCAAGAGCCGCTTTATAATTGTTAATTAACCGCGTCTGTCGTACTAAATAGGAACGGAACAATAGTAATAATGCTTTAGCCAAATGTCACGGGATTCTAAATTGCCACAGGACATGTTCTCCACGGGGGCTGCATCCTGTAACCCCCTAAATCCACCACGACCGACGGTCTCATTACGGTACATCCGTCACCGCCGCGAACTGACGGCTCTTAGTTATTCTGATCGGTGACAGCGTCGATTCATATTGTGCTAATAATGGCTTGTTACTGGGTGCCACATAGCAATTACGAGTCGAATTGGTAACGTTGCCAATAGGTCGTTGTGAAACTGCTTGGGTAAAAAAAGCGAAGAAGTATAATTTGTTTCGTCTACTGAAAACATTGGAAAAAGAACAGTACTTGTAATTAGCAGTCTCGAAAACAAAGTAACAAGACACCTGACAAAATATACTGTCTTCTCGAAATTTGAATATAGTCTATAAAACCGTTCAGTTACGTTGGATACAATGAGCTGGTCAAGGATCAAGAATGTCAAGAATAATCGCTGAGCAGTATTCTGTGGTGAAAGACTTTTGACTGAGATTAAGTAGCAATTACTTACTCGCTGACAAATTTTGTACTTTTCTCGTGTCTTACTGACGTTGTATTGAAGACATTAAAGAGAACTTGCATTATTGATGCTTACGTATCAACTTCTGCATCGTAAAATGTAATGAAAAATATGTAGAGAATTGTTTTAAATTAAAAATATGAAAAAGTGTAGAAAAAAGCTCTCTAAGGTAGAATATACGGTTTCATATTGTGTTGATAATAAATCACCCTGTAGAATTCAATCTCTGTCCGCCTCTAAATTACGCTGTGCTTTTGCAGGTGAACAAAATTAAAAATTACAACCGAATTAAACCGGCTGCGTCCATTCGTATCCGCGGACGACCATGAAAAATTGCGACTACCGGAGAGAACGGGCCCATTTTGCATAATCCGTTCTAATTCGGACGTAATTACGCGAAAACGCAGCCCCAGAACGCGATATTAAACAACGGTTTTGTAACCGCACCCACCTAATAACACGACCTCACACCATCACTCGTCGACAATTTGCTTTTATTATCCGCGAATCGTTTATTTTTTCCAAACCAACCGGTAGGTATAATTGCGATAAGTTATAACCGGCCGGTCGCCCACCATTTGCTCGTCTGCGAGAGAGGTTTCGATAATTTGCGGCGCCGCGTTTTCGATTTTGAACGTGGCGGAATAATCGTGCCGTGTCAATTATTCCGTTCGTGGTTTATATATAGTCGTCCTGGTAAAAAAGCGGCGACTTTGTTGGTGGGTGGTTAACGAGCGGAATGGGAAAGGACGAGTATGACCGCCCAATTAACGCGATGCCCACGGATTTCGCGTTTAATATATGGACCTCACTGGCGCTGATTGGAACTGCATCTTTTTACTCTTATTTGTGGGGACAATTGGGCGACGAATTCAGTACAGAAATCACTACAAACTTTGATTACATATTTTTTGTTAAGGATATTTCATGTTATATGAAACAAGAAGAGTTTGTGACAAGTACTCAAAAGAGTTTCTTCCAACAAACGTTTCTCTCAAGTAATGCCATCAAACTCACAACCATATCAAAAACAAGCTTGTATAACGTTCTATTGATGTAACCTGGTTTTAAATCCAAATAAGGAATAATAGTGTTCAGAAGAGATTTTATTCTAAGTACATAATGTGAAACTTTTATATGTTTATTCGATTTTGAAGGACCGTAAATACCAGTCGGATATGATGTAGTCTCGCTTTCTCAATTAGATGACTAACATGCTCTAAAACGATGAATTGATTAACCATACTCTGACCTTGATTACTTCATTCGATCACTTATATTATGTAATTATGTTCAGGATAGATGTTACTTAGTAGTGGATACTGCTTACAGAAAACTATATATGTTGATGATAGAAAACTAGAATCTATTTACTGAAGACTAGATAATGCTGTCAGAAAGCTGGAATCTTCCTAGGAAATGATTAGATATCACTAAAGGAAGCCAAATAATGCTGATAAAAGACTAGGCACTTCTTGCAGAACACTATATGTGTAGTGCTGACAGAAGTCCAGATAATGCTGATAAAAGTCTGAATCTATTTACAAAAAAATAAATATTGCTTGCATAAAACTAGACCTACCTCATGGGAGTCTAGAAACTGCGCGCAGAAAATTACTTACTGCTAGCGGGAGACTTGTAAACGACTAAATACTTCTTGCAAATGACTAGACACTGCTATTGAAAACCTGAAATCCTTCTTATAAATGAATACATAGCGCTAATAGAAGACTAGATACCGCCGGCAAAAGACAAGACATTACCCATAAACGACAAGGTTCTCCTTACATAAGAATAAACACAGCTTATAGACTATTAAATACTGCATACAGGAGACTTCTGTTGGAAGACTCGTTCGTAGGAAACTACTTACTGCTAACAGAAGACTAGATACTGTTATTGAAAAACTGAAATCATTCTAGTAACTGAGTAGATAGCTCTAATAGAAGATTAGCTACCGCTAGCAAATTACAAGATATTACTCAAGGAAGAAAAGATCTATCTTATGTAAGAAAAGACACTGCTTATAGAACTCTACTCTTCATAGAAGACTAGATACTACCATTGGAAGACTGCTCGCAAAAAACTACTTGTTGCTAGCAGAGGGCCAGATACTAGTTGATACGCGTTCTTATCCGTACATCCTTGATTGATAAGTAATACAAAGCAATATAGGTTGTTTGATGTCCTAGTGGTAGGTTTATGCAAAGTGGTGACATTAATTATTTAAATATTTAAGTGCATTAAACAGAACTTTTGTGAGAGTGGACAAGTTTTCACCATGTTCATCCTGTATTGTCATATAATATCAAACCTATAATTAGGACTACATCGAATACGATGTATAATGGATTCTTTTGAAAAATTAACAACTTGCTGTAATGAAATAAAACACCCAGATAATGACTCTTGATAATTTCTAACATTAACAACTGTGATCCTCAATGGCGGATACATACTAAGTCAAGCTACATGAGGAGTAGAATAAGTTACATGAACTAATCAAAAACAAACTACTATTGAACTAATCTACTAATTTCACATAATTAATACACCAATTATTTCTTTAAACGGAATTAAATGACGACTTTGTTGAGGTTTTTTTTTCTGTAGAAGTTGTAGAGAATGAGTCCATCGTTTTTAACTCATTATCGGATTTGTCACTAACATCTGGAGTTGGATTTTATCGTAAAATGAAATTATTGTCGTAATATTTTCTGATGTTTTTGGAAGTACTCGTCTTTGGATTATACTGTACCAACTACTGTTGGAAGATGTTCATGCAATCATCGATCACGGTAACTTTACACCATATTTCCGCAATATGGTTAGTCATTTTCAAGATGACAACTACTGCAGATTTGTTTACTGAAATGGGTTCTATAGGTTTATAAACTAGCATGAATCTCCAAATGGAACGTGTTAACAGTCCTTGCATCGACGGCATAAAATACTTTTTTGTTGAATTTATTTGGAATTCGAGAATATCTGTTATAAATTTGATTTTTTTTAAATATGTATCTTGTGACAACGAATTTATCCAGTTCTTGTCACTCCTGTGGGGAATGGCACAGGAATTCACTTTTCGTATGTGAACTTTTAATAGGTGCACTATTATCAACTCATCTATCATTTCATAATACTAACTTTTCAAGTGCTCCGATTCATTTTCGCCAGCTAACTGGGTAGGGTAAATAACCAAATACTCAGTACTCACTACTCCATTATACTTTTGATATGAGTGATATTGATAAAATAAGGTTGAAAAAATTGGATTCATTGCATACAAAACAAGAATTATGACAGTATTACATTGTCCTAATGCTATGGTCATCATAATACTTTTACAATAGGTCAATTTGTAACCTATTGTAGAGGCAACAGGAGAGAAGATGTTACTTTTTTCCTTTACGCATGTTACAGATTTAATGAGAAGACAGAAATCTCATATCTCATGTTGATACACTGCTTTACCTACTTTTTGCCTCTCTTATGTTATTATTCTTATGTCTTAACGTAGAAGCAAGAAATGTTGGTATATGTTGCAGTCAAAACATAATTTTAGTATTGCTTGATTAAACTAACGCTTTAACTGTTTAATTCTATTATATGGCGATTCTTCTGGCTCAAAGCTCTTATCTGCCTATGTTTTGTAATTTCGACTTTGTCGACTAAAATCAAAAAGTAGTAAGTTTATTATTCCTTGTTTTCGTAGCGTTCTTTAATTGCAACTGAAATCCCTAACGGTGACTTGGTGCTTGTATCATAAAGAGTTTTTACTTGCACCGTTTATACTTGAATACAGCAAAATGTGTGTTTTCTTTTAGTTCGGTGTGAAATCATACCGAGATATATAGTGACAAATTTTGATGGCGAACATTTAATTTCAAACAATGAAGTCTCAGATCAAGGAAATAAACTTTTCCGAATGCTTGGTGTATAGCTAGGTCTTCTTTACCAAGATTTTTGTGGATTATTGTTCATTTATTTCATATGAAATGATTAACTGATGATAAATCAAACCACCATTTTATGGACGACGAGTAATGTGCTTACAAATTGTACGAAGATGGAAGATAAGCTTAGAACTCTTATGATCCATCCGAAAATCAAAAGAGTATTAACTAGAGCTAACGGTGCGTTTATCTCTCGATACTCCTACACACTTTTATCATTTATTTACTTACTTTTAAAAAAATATAAAATAGAAATAATAAATACATACGACAGATAAGAATTAAGATAAGGAATATGAAACTTCAGTTTTATATTTTTATTGAAAACTAATAGTTCAATATATTTAATAGTTTTCCGTTGCAATTAGTGTTGTTGCCAGTTCTAAAGAGTTCTGTTAAATAATGCGTCGTGTTTTTACTGTTATAGTCTTTTGCGGAATATTATTCCTCATTACTTATACATTATTAGAAAAACCAGGCAATTTGTTTCCAAAAACTTCAAATAACAATCGGACTCTTTTAAGAAATCTCTTCGATATAAATGTCCAAAATAATTCAATATTCTTCCTGGATACATCTCTTAAAGACTATAAACACGATACCATCACCATACATCGTCGAGCATCTTGTGCCTTGGAATCGGCCGCTTTTCATCATCAAAACCGGTCGATTTATTACGTGTACGTTGGAAACTATTCAGAAGCTGCAATGGATACTACTGATATTAACTTGAAAACGATTTTAAATTACGAAAACATTCAGCTCGTTTACGTAAAAATTAACGATTTAGTTGAAAACACTGAAATTGAAGAATTATTTAAGAAAGGTTTAATTCAAAGTTCGGATTATTACGTTGCACATTTTAAAGATGCCTTTTGCGTAATTCTTTTGAGGAAATACGGTGGAGTTTATCTTGATGGTGATGTGATAATATTAAAAAATTTAGATGACTTGGGAGAAAATTTTGTTGGGAAAGAAGCTGAGGAAGTTATTGGTACCGCAATATTGGCGTTTAACCAGAGTAGTTATCAACTTTTAACCACATTTTTGAACGATCTCAATGTAGAATATAGTCCGACATCGTGGGCTGGAAATGGACCCTATTTGGTTTCTAGGTATTAAATGTTAATTTAAGCTGTAAACAAATTTTAAATTTCTTTAAACATAATTTACAACTAAACCTACAATTTAATCCCTAATTATATTATTATAGTAATATTACAGACTAAATATTTAAGTTTAATCTCAAAGCTAAACATTTTTGTTTTATCGTATTCTTATTTTAACACATGACCTGATGATTACGGATTACAATTGAAACAATTAGTTGGTACATATAGAAAAAACGAATTTTTATTTGTTTTATTCTTATAGTGATGCAGTAGATAAAATAACACAAACTTTTAATATACTTTAATTTATTTCTTTTAGAGGGGTGAAAAAATTATGTGGGACAACATCGAATTTTTCGGACAACAACTGCGACTATTTAAAAATCTTTTCGGAGAATTATTTTTTCCCGGTATATTATGTGGTCTGGAGGCATCTTTTCGAACCGCAATATGCGGAAGAAGTTCTGGAAATAACCAAAAATAGCTACATGGTTCGTTTTTGGAATAAATTGAGTCACGAATTGATATTAGACGTTAAATCTAATGCTCCTTATGTACTTTTAGCGAAAAAACATTGCCCGAATACCTTTTTTATACAACAAGAATCATTTTAAATTTAATTTCTTAAGTAGCAACTGTTTCTTTTTAAATTTTTTTTATTTATTTGTCATTTGTATTTTACTCACTATTACCATCTTATTATTCGATTTTTTTTGAGAATGTAATTCAACTGTACCTGCAGCCACGCCTTAATCATACCTTAATTAAACCAAGCAAAGTTAATTAGAATATGGTAGCAGTGGGTTTAAATATTTTCTAGTTTGCCCGAAATTATTCAGAATGTATCTCAGATTTGTGTCAGATGATCAAAAATTCCCTTTAGAAAAATATTTAGTGTACAATTTTTTAGAAATATTATTAAAAATGTTATTTAATATTTTACCAATTCTTGTATGATGTTAACGGAGTCTCCTAAATTGTGGCTGTTTTTTTAAGTGTAATATTCTCTAAATCGTCCATTTCGTTCTTTTTGATTCAATTAGCATAATGTTTAAAGATCGACTGTAAATGAAAATTATTTAATAAAATGCATTAGTTTTTATCAAGGAGTTATTTTTTATATTGTTGACATTAGAAGAAATTGTAAAAATTAAAAAGTAATTCATTTCAAGAAAAAATTGTTACAATAAAATGTTTGATTCAGCATTAACATGTTATTATTTTTCAACTTATTTTTAATACGATGTAAGTGTACACAGACAATACATACATTGTAATTAGTATTGTTGATCTCCTAGTAGTGTTGTTGTGACTCTGATTAGCGGTAACAGCTGTATACTTTAAAACGAAAAAGTTCATAACCTGACATTCTACACATTTAAATGATAAAGCTGTTTCATGTTTTATATGGACTGAGGCTATTGAGGATTTAGAAAGTAACGTTTTCGTTTCTATTATAATTAGATCTCTTCTTAGTGAACTTCAAAAGCATAAGCCTTTCAAAAAAATTGTAGTGTTGAGCGATGGATCAGAATCGTAACATCAAATGGTCTTCTCGAGTTAGCTATGGAGCAAAATAAAATTATAGAACAAAAGAACTTAGAAGTGAGTTATACCCAGATAGAAGTAGATTTAATTCACAGCAAAATTGAGTTGTACAAGAAAGTTGGAAATAAATCAAGGCATTTGTCTTTGCAAATTATCAAATCAGCAAGAGAAAAAGCTTCACCATACAATTCCTTTGAATCACAAGGACTTAAACCTAAAGACCTAATAACCTAAAGAAACTATTAGTTAGTTATTAGTAGTGAGCTAAGCACAACGCCAACTCTAGCAATAAATGTTTTGCTTGGCCTTTCTCCTTTGCATTTGGATATAGAGAAAGTAGCTAGAACTTCCATTTACAGATTTAAGCAATATGCTCAGAACTATTCCGATATGTCCTACCAATGGGCTGCGGAAGACATTATAAGCACTGATATTGTGCTATCTATTATGTTTTGCATAATACAAAACTTGCCGATCCTATCCAGGCAAAATTTGGGGTAAGACAAGGGTGAATTCTATCACCCATACTGACCCTCCTTATATTGATTCATTGCAATACCGCAGTCTTTAATTGTTGATTGTGGACAGACGTAAATTTGTTGTAATAAGAATACGATGTTTGTGACAAATATTATTTTATTTGACGAACCTTTTCTTTGAATGGAACTGTAAACTGATAAAACTGTAGATATTAGGCTTTACAGAATCTTAGATGGATGGAGCAAACTCATACGCAGCGTCCAAGAAATGTGAACGATTGGGTTGGTATAGACAGAAATAGAATTGTGGGATCGTATTTTTCTGGCTGGCAAACGTATTTGCAATTTTTACAGGAAAGCTTGAATCCAACAATAATAGCTTTATATCTAGATACATATTAAGTAGTATTCAATACCCATCTGGGATCTCAATAATATCTTTCTACAGTAGTAGATAGGTCGACGTAAGTTATTAAAATGACTTCCTCAGATTTAATCCCGCTACATTTCTTTTCATGGAGTTTAATAACACAACGTATAGATATAAAATACCATTAAGATGAAACCAATCAATACCATTTTGATTGAAATAATGAATAAGATAAAAAATAAGATAAGACAATAAGATAAGGAATGACTTCAGTTTTCTCCTAGTGGCTTCCAATATGTGTAGTCGTTTCTCGTATTATTAGTGTTGTTAGTAGTTACTAATAGTTGTGATAAAAAATGCGTCGCATTTTTGTAATCATCATTTTTTTCGGAATATTTTTATTCATTGCGTACACGTTAGTACAAAAACCCGACAATAATGTATTATTAACGATGTTTCCAAAACCTTCAAATATTAGTCAAGCTACATTAAAAAATCTCTTTGATTCAAATAACAATCGGACTGTTTTAAGAAATCTCTTCGATATAAAAGTCCAGAATAACTCAATATTCTTTCTGGATACTTCTCTTAAAGACTATCAACACAAAACCGTCACCATACATCGTCGAGTATCTTGTGCTTTGGAGTCGGCAGCTTTACATCATAGAAATCGGACGATTTATTACGTTTACGTTGGAAGATATCCTGAAGCAGCGATGGATACTAATGATATTAATTTGAAACCGATTTTAATGTACGAAAACGTTCAGATTGTTTACGTAAAAATCGACGATTTGGTTGAAAATACGGAAATTGAAGAATTGATTAAGAAAGGTTCGATTCAAAAGTCGAATTATTACGTTGAGCATTTTAAAGATGCTTTTTGTGTGATCCTTTTAAGGAAATACGGTGGGGTTTATATGGACGGTGACGTGATAATATTAAGATCTTTAGACGAATTGGGAGGAAATTTTGTCGGGAAGGAATCCGAAGAAGTTTTAGGGACTGCAATTTTGGCGTTTAACCAGAGTGGGTATCAATTTTTGACTTCTCTTTTGAACGATTTGAATGACAATTATAATCCAAAATCGTGGGGTGGAAATGGACCATATCTGTTTACTAGGTAGTGAGCTTTTATTTTGGCTACACAATTTTAAATTTCTTTAAATGTAGGATGTATTAAGGCTTTCACTAATAAAACTAATCTAAAAATGAAATAGTTAATAATTTAGTAATTAAACTCTTGATGTCATAAAAATAAAATTTATCTGAAAACGTGTGCAAGTCATAATAGGAGTAATGTTTATCTCAAATATGATTATTATTAACTTGTAATCGATATAATCGATAATCGATATATTAAACATCTATATCTTACTGATGATCTAAAATAAAGCAATGTAATTAACACACTTTAATTTATTTCTTTTAGGGGTGTGAAAAAATTGTGTGGTACAACGTCGAATTTTTCTCACAATGAATGCGACTATTTAAAAATCTTTTCGGAAAATTACTTTTTTCCGGTTTATTACGAGGACTGGAAGCAACTATTCGATCCAAAGTATACCGAAGAAATTCTGGAAATAACCAAAAATAGCTACATGATTCATTTTTGGAATAAATTGAGTCACGAATGGATATTGGACGTTAAATCTGACGCTCCTTATGTAACTTTTGCGAAAAAACATTGTCCGAAAACGATTTCTATACAAAATGAATCATTTTAAATTAGTAGATAATTCAAATTTTTTAAAATTCTGTTTTATAGTTTTTAAAATTTCATTTAAGATCCACTGCTATAATAGTATTATTAAATTAATATTGTTTGTTTGTTTGATTATTTGTGTTTTTTTATTGCCAAATTTTTTAGTGTTTTATAAAGTTTTATATTTCATAAACATCTTTACACGTTCTATTTAATATTTGAATTATTTTCATTTTAGTGTTTTATTGCATAACGTAACGTGGTCTCCTAAATGATGTTGTGATTTACTGTGATTTTATAATTTTTTTGTGTATCGACTGTGATGTATTTGATACGATTATTTTGTTTACACAATACGTATGAGATTTATCCATTTTATGATAATAGATTAACTTATATATAAATCTAATTTAATAAAAAGGTTTCTGAGTATCAGTTATCTTGATAAATTTTACAATTATTATCATGGAACTCTGTCAGGTTGTTATCACCTTGTTTTATGTTATTTACATTAGTACAAGTTGTATAAATTAAAATTAAATAACTTTTAAATAAAAGATTACCACAATAAAATCATTGATTCGACATAAACTTGCTATAATTTTTTAACTTATTTTTAAAACTGTTAATATTAGTTCTTGTTTTACAACTAATATTATCTTTTTAGTAGCATGAATTCAAACTTTGGAGAACGTCTTACACAATCTCAAAAGTACTAAGTTTAATTTAGCTTAATTTAATTTGAATCTACACTATGTAACATGACTAAGCTAGGTTTGTTTGATTGTTCTAATAATTTGTAATAAAACATTTCGTGTAAATTAAAATTTTAAATTAGTTTTGGAAAACAGAATAGTAAGTAGATAAGTCCTATTACATATATCCTCGTTAATTTAAGAATTGATTTATATATTTTTTTTGCAATGTGGCACCCGAAAAGATAAACATTTTTTTTCAAAATACGCACGGTATAACCCGAACGTGTCTAGTTCTAGGCCTAGTGTTACTTCTAGTGATAGCGCTAGTGTTAGTTTTAGTTTAAATATATAGATGTGATCTACAGATTTATAGATACCAGCCTGGATATATGTATACAGGGTGATCCATTGAACGTGAGACAAGCGATTATCTCGAAAACGGTTCATTTTACATAAAAATGGACCAAATGAAGCAAAAACTGAATCTATGGATAAAAGTAAAATTTAAAAAAAAGAAAAATTACCGTATTGTTTTGCCAGTACGACGGCGAAACATCTTTTGTAGACAAAATTTTATTTACAAAAAAATGATTAACCTATACTATTAATCAACAAGTATAAAATTTATGATGAAATTTATGAATGTTCAAATATTTCCCCACCCACTTCAATACATTTATTAACCCTTCTACTAAAACTTTCTTTACATCTTAAAAGGTTTTCTCCGCTACTATTTCTGCATGCATTTCTTTCATGTTTTCTGGCGTAGTCGGTACTTCGTGATAAACATTATCCTTAAGGACGCCCCACAAAAAAAAAATCAAGAGGTGTTAAATCAGGTGATCTGGCAGGCCAGGAAATTGGACCTCCTCTTCCAATTCATCGCCCAGCATAATCCCGATCTAAAGCTTCACGTGCAATATGTGAAAAATGTGCTGAACACCCATCATTTTGCAGCCACATATTTTGTCTTTCTTCCCTGCTCAAATCTGCAAGTAACGCTGGTAAGACGTCATCTAAACAATTTCGGTACTTCTCCCCATTCAGCATACCATCAATAAAGTATGGACCGATCAATTTATCACCAATTATGCCACGCCAAACATTAAACGACCAAGGTCGTGGATGTTCTACTTCACGCAACCATCTCGGATTTTCAACGCTCCAATAGTGCATGTTATGTCTATTGACTTGTCCTTTGTTTGTAAAAGTAGACTCATTCGAGAATGGCACGTTACCAAAGAAATTGACGTCTAACCGCATTCGTTCTTGTGCCCATTGACAAAATATTAATCCATTTTCAAAATCACCTCCATAAAGCTGTTGATGTAATGAAATGGGGTATGGGTGATACTTGTTGCGCTGTAATATTCTTAAAATGCTGGTCCTTCGATATTCCGGCGTCAATTGCAAGTCGTCGAGTGGTAACTTAAGGATTTACTTTAACGCTAACAAATACCGCAATTTCCTTTTCTTCCGTAGTTACAATTGCTCGCCGAGTTCTTTTTCTTGATTCCACATTTCCAGTGTTGGTGAAATCATTCACAACTCTGTAAAAAGTACTTCTCAAAGGCGTATTTCGATCAGGAAAACGTTCTCGATAGAAAGCTATACTATCAGCAACTTTTCAGCCACTTTCTCCATAAATAAAAATCATTCTGCTTTTTATTTCTGCCACACTTAGAGTATCCATGATTTAATGACTTAGTTAAACACTTTGCCTTAATGTAAAACGATGGAATGAATTCAGAATTTGTGGCCAAGCAGTCTTTATGCAAATTTAGTTTTACCTGTTACATTTTAAAACAATTCAACTAATTAAGTCTCTGAAAGCAATATTCTGAAAATGCCGACATAAGCAGTTCCACGAACTCTTGTTTTTTATGCGTTATTCTATTATGAAATTGACAAAGGAGGACATATGTCGGAACCTTTTAACCTCTTTCCAAAGGTATTTCCGACGAGCTAATCACCCGATGTACCTCTTGTGGATTTTTTTTGTTGAGCATTCTTAAATAGTATTCTAGATTATAAACGTTATTTAATAAATTAGTTAATAAACTGTTTCTCAAGAAGTTTCAATTTTTTCAAAAGATGTTTTGCCGTTGTACTGGCAAAACCACACAGTAAAATTTTTTTTTAAATTACTTTACTTTTCCACAGATTCCAGATCCACAGATTCAGATTTTACAATAAAATATTTAAAAAATTGGTCGTGACCTTCGTATAACTTTGAAAATAAGGTCAAGGTCAAAAAATTTTATCGTCATATGGTTTCCCGCTTCGCACAGAACAACTTTCATTTGGTTCATTTTTATGTAAAATGAACCGTTTTCGGGATAATCGCTTGTCTCACGTTAAATGAATCACCCTGTATAAGTTTGCAGTTTTAGTTCTGATTACAGTTGGTATATCAGCAGTATCCAGAACACTACCCTGTGGCATTCCTAATTTTATAGTGTACAGCTGTGTGCATTCCATTCCATGTTTAACTAGAAAGTGTCGCTTTGAGTTGTAGGAGTTCAGTACTTTAAAATGGCAGTAGTTATAAACAATAGTTCCTAATGATAACGGTAAATGAGAGGATGATATGGAACTAGGCAGATACAAGATGTTACTTAAATCTAAAACTGAACACCATCGACCTTATATTGACAAATCCTACGGGAAAGATGTATTCAAAACCGTATCGAAGATTTGATACACGTGATGATCTCTACGGAGACGTAGAGAGGAGAATGATCGAGTGCAGAATTGTAATAAAGCAGATAACAATGGAAAAGTCAGAACTAGTTCCAGAAAAGGCGAAAAAAATAAACCAAGAAATATGGATCATTAAAACGTTCAACATAGGAAAAGAAAAAGTATAAGAAAAAGTACAAGTGGAATCATTGAGTTTTAATCGATTCTGCGTTCAACTGACAAAAAAAGAAACGGCGGCGACGTTACCCTATCACGTGACTAAATTTCGTGGTTACTTCAACTCGACTGTCATTACAAGAAATTATATGTGAAGTAGAGACGACTGACCAAGCTGTTAAAAACAGCCAAATCACCAAAGTGAGCTGCGAATTTACCTCAAGGTGTGCGTGGTCAACTTTCAAAAATGTTTGTTCTATAGTTACGTTATTGCTTCTTGCTAAAATAGTATCGACTTGACACAATCGTTGCATTGTCTGAATTACTAATTTGAGAGTTCCGGAATGCACACCCAAATAGATGCGAATTTCTTGGTATTCATGACACCATTGGTTTCATTCCACAAATGACAATAAACGTTTCCATTTACAATGTTATAGAAAGAAAAGTGTGCATTTGTAATTTTGTTCTATAATGAAGTATGCTTACGTTATTGGATCTAATTTTTTTTTGAACACATACTTCCCCATTTTTGTTCTTAACATTTTTTCTCTTGCATGTGTGTTTATATTACAAAATAGACAAATAAAATGTTTTGACTACCATTTTGCAAAAAGATGTTATTTCGAAGTACTGAACTTTACGTGTAATTTAATAAGTTATAATCAAGCTAGAAATTCAGCTAAGCATTTGCAACGATCATCTAATAATTTAACTGGTTAAGGGTTTTGTGTTGCTTAACTGGTTTGAATATTCGATTAATACTCGCTTGCGTCTCAGAAATATTTTTCCAGTGAAGAACCGTCCATCTTCCGATTACTAGTTTATTTAAAAACATGGTTCTGTATGCTTTACAAGTCGATAGAAAAAAACCCTTGATTATTTATATGTATATATTTTTTCTCTCCCCACATCATTTTCCCAATTTCTTCAAATTCTCCTGCCTAATAAAAAGTATCTAATCACGTCTGTTTTTATAGATTTCTAGGTGTATGTGCAAAAATATCCAAGACCATAATGCAAAACTGATCAATGATGAACATTTCTTGATTGTCCTCGATGTGCTCAATTTTCGTTTAATGGAACAAGTTGGTGGAAAAGAAAAAAGTTACTAATTGCCTTAGCTATTACCACTACTGCTGGAAAATAATCAGTTTCCATCAAAGCGTCATAAAGTGTTAAATCTGTTGGATTTTGTTGCCCTTGTCAATATTGTAATCATGTGTCAGCTTCTTCATAAACATTTTGACTGGAAAAAAATTATTCGTCAGACAATGCGAAAGTAATCATCAAATATGTTTCAAAATTTCAAAGCGTATGCAAGCTGTTAATTTCGACGAACCGGCCTTTTATTGAAGACATATTATAGATATATCTAAGATGTAGAATCTAAATAAGATGTGTGAAAAATCTTATGAAAGTATTCCTCCGAATGATCTTCAATTTTTCTTCGCTATTTCACTATTCTCTTGACATATACTTATGAAGTAAGTTTCGAGTTAGCTTTTGTGTGAGTTAAGA